TGAGCTACGATACCCAAAGAGGGCGTGAGAACAACAAATGAACGCGGGCGCTGCCTTTAAGTCGACAGCAAGAACAAGCAATGCACTAGCTATACACAAGCAAGAACACGCACTCAGTGGTGGAGAACAACCAAAACCGAGAGAACGCAGACAAGCAGCGCACGGGGCTATCGTTCGGCGCGTGACTAGCCGTGCGGCAGCGCGGCAAAGCGCTATTCATTCCTCTTCATGAAGGCTTTTCCTGGATAAACAAGCCCAGGTAGGACGAAGTTGTGAACCCTGAACCCTTACCACTACCAGGTTTAGAGGCTCCGTCAACTAGGACGAAAGACGCTAATATTATTCAAAAAGGTATTGAATCGAAAAAATTACCTCTGTGGTGTATTGTGTCCAGATCCCATTTTGAACAACGCACGTTTTAGTTCACGCTCAACGATAAATACATTCCTACGACGTTCATCTTCTCCAATCCTGTAAAAAGCACATAATTTTCAGAACGATTCCGGCACCTTCATAACTAGAAGGAGGGCAGTAAGTCACCTGTCATATATGAGACCATCCACACCAAGTTCTTTCTTGAAATAATTGATGTTTTCCTTCTTGTCTAGATCTTCTCCCCATACGAACGTAATGAGACCAAAATCGTTGGCCCTTTTCACTGGATATGGGTCATTTAAAAGATCCTCTGAATTGAAGTTGACACCCTGAAACCATATCACACTTCATACAAAAAAAAATTATCAAAGAAAATGGGCACTATTGAACTTTTCCTACACCAAAAATTCACGAAAAAACTTTCGCTAGAACTCTGCCTATAGGTGTTATTTGATGTCCTGATCACGAATATGACATTAATTTTTAGCGCTGTACTTGTTTACAGAAGTTAATTGACATCATGATCACGGGTACAGCATTTATTTTTGACGCTGACGGATTTGCCATTATGCGCCAATTTGGCGTCACACCCTTTTTCCCCAGAATCGAAAAACTTGCATAATAGGGCTGATTGATGCCCAGATCACGAATATAGCATTTATTTCTCGACACCAGCGTCATTTAGCCTTCTGCTGCAAAATCTGGTAGAATGAGTGACTCCCTTCAGGCCAGGCTCAGCCTTAGCAGAGCGCAGATGATCATAGTGTTCCTACATTAGTGCCGGTTCCGAGAATAAATGTCATATTCGTAATCAGGATGTCATATATGAGTTTTCATCGATTTTGGTGATTCAGGGTGTTTTGGCGCCGGCGCCTGTGGCGCGGGCGTTAGGAGGTTTTGGCCCAAGCGGATGTGATATTCATGTTCAGGAGGTCAAACAATCCCTGTCAACATACTTTTTTCAGCCGAATCTGCACTCGCATAAAAAAGTCGCTAAAAAACAGCTGTTTCGAAAGGATAGGGTAGGAATAGTTCAAACAGTGCTAAAAAATGTAAATGGTTGCGCTGCTCAGAGAGAGAAGTGTCCTCTAGTGATACCTCACACAATCTGTGTTTCTCAATATATTAGGTTGGTCCGGCAAGTTCTTACGGCGTTTTTGGGATGTTTTAACGTTTAAACGATCATAAACTTTCTAACACTCACGTTGCGATTTAATGCAAATATAGCACGCCATATGCGAATCAGCACACATTCTTGCCAATGGGGGCAGGCAGTCGATGAATCCGCCAGCTCACGAGAAAAGAAAAAACATGGGTGGTCGAGATCCAGCGGAATATCTGCCGAAGGTCTTTTTTGCCTTGGTGCCTGTTTGTATGTTGTAATGTGAGTCTGGTCTGACAGGGCAGGAAAGTTCTGAAAATGTCTGAAGAAGGTGACAGTTCGGTCTGTGTAAAGAGGATCTAAGAGATAATACATGGTTGGAGTGAGGTAGAGATTCAACTCGCCGAATTGCGTATCGTAATCTTATGGGATAACGTAGATTATGTGTTAAACGAGTGTGGGAGCGGCGCGTGTCTATGACAAAAGAACGGACCGTTCTTGAGTGATAAGTGCTTGGCTGAATTTTGGTGACAACTTTATTTCGTCGAAAACAATGTTGGTCGGGTTTGTTCACGGGGAGTTATAGGGTGTCTCCTTGCTGTGACTACGTTTTGGCTCTGAGTGTGTATGAAAAGTTATAGTGGATTACAAGACAGCCGATGACCACCAAACCTGACCAGAATTTTTTTTTCGCGAGGGTTCGGCTTTGAAAATTACCTCGGTGGTTCCTCCAAATCCAACCACTGTCCGGAACGTCTCCTGTTATCATACATGATCCATTTTTCATCACAGGTGACAAATAAGCTGCGTTTCGATAAAAACGGGTTCTTCTTTTGGCGAGGGCAAAAGCAGTGAAGTAAGGTAACTCGGAGACGTGCCCGATTCCCTGCCGGTCACGACACGTGTACGGTCGGTTGTGGCCTCTCAACCAACGGGACGTCGGGGTTGATTGTATAACAAACTCACTTGGTGGTGGGGAAAGTTATTTGCCCTGTTTGTTTTGTTTTGCTCGGTGTGCCCGATGTGGGGCACCCCAATTGTCGCGAGGCGTTTTTTTCCACGCTTCGCCAAGAGTGCGTTCCCTAGACCTATCTGCAAGCAGTGCGATTTGCTAAACGCCTAGCTCTCTTCTGGCTATTCTCGAACTGTTTTGGGATAGATTCACCTCGGCGAAATCTTGCCCTCAGAATTGCTTTTTTAGGTCGATGCTATGAGGAATTCACCTTCAAGGCTGAAATTTCCAGAACGACATTTGTTGAGCCATTGCGGCACAGTGCTTTCTCTAGCACTATTGGGCCTCCACACCTGGTTAATTTGTTGAGCTGTTTCGATTGCGGATTGCCCCAATTTATAGCCGAAGAAAAAAATCGTCCGAAGTGCTCTTTTCACATGCTTGAAAAAATCTTGAAAAAAGGGGTTTATCAAGCAATGGTGAAACGGCAATTATACCATCAGATAGCGCAAGAAATTCTCTACAGGATGTGCTACTGAGAAGCAAGGCAGAATGAGTTTTTAATCAGCAGTGAATGTACAAAGATTAGGTGCACAAAACGCTAAGAACTTTCCGGACAACCTAATACTTGACTTTTTATACTGGACTCATCCGCTAATAAAAGGTCGTGGTTTTGCCTGCAAGCCAGCGGCAGTCTAGAGCCGCGTTCATCACTCTCGCGATCAGGCACAGTCATAACGATGCGAAGTCGGTCGATCGGAACGGCGTGATCCGAATCAGTAAGGCTGCTCTTCATGAACTTCTACCCCCTGGCGGTGCCCGGCGTGGCATCAACTCGCTTTTAATTCTTATCGGCTACTTATAAAGCCGAATAAGGAGTATTCATCTTGAAACCTTTTTCTCGAAAAAGGCGGACTGCATTCGCTAGGACGGGTGAGGTTAGCCAAAGCTTCACTACAAAAAAAACAAACAAAATAACGTGGAGATCTACATACCATTATATCAGCACCAGCAGCGAAGTTTACAGCAGTAAGACTGGTACTGCTACGTTGATCTTGGAACCTAGTGTAACGCTGTGTCTCTCCGACGCAAAGGAACAGTACTGGATACTTGTTCTGCTTCATTGATATTCTGGAAAAAAAGCAGCCGAATTTTCAGGAAATAAAAAAACACACCAAAATTCTATAATCACAACTAAGGCATGCGAGAAGGGCATAAAATAGTCAAATTTGGGCGCTATTCCAGATTAAAGACGTTTGGGGCGTTTCTGGTTCTAAAGACTGTGGGGACAACGATGATCCCAACCTTATCCTTATCCCAGACCTAGGAAAAGTAGCTCTGTAAACTCGATTCCTACGACAAAATCGTCGATCGATTTGTCAAAATGTTACACGACATTTGGCGTTAAAGGTGTGAAGAAGCGATTATGAGCCAATTAAGTTGACCACAAGGATACTGTTTTTCTCTAGCGTCCACAGTAACAGAAAGAAACTTGCTCTGCATCTATATCCATTCTGTTGCCTTTTTCAATTCACCCCCTTTCCATCTCTTCTATTTGGATACTGCGTCCCCCTAGTGGATTAGCGCCTGATCTTCTCCTTTAGTTCTTTATTATGAAAATCTCATCAACCCCGTCTTTCTCTTCCCCGACACACGAATAAGTACTGTAACCAATATGTTAAGCAGCCCGCGAGAAGACCCTCCCTTCAATTCTAGGTTCCTTGTAAATTGTAAAACAAATTGCGAAAAGGATGTGAAATCAGGAAGACAGCGTTCAGACTTCGCGATGACGCACGTTGATGCACTGTAATGTGCGTCGTCGCGCTACAATTGCAACCACGCTCCAGTGCTACCGTATTCCAGCCTACCTTTACATGTTTCCCTTTAAAATTTAAGCTATTTTTCATTGTTGACATCATTAGTTCACTTTTTTAATATTCGTTTTTGATTTCGACTCTCAATCTTAATCGTGTTTAATGTTTCATTGGCATTTTGTACCTCGCGCTGTCCCCACATATGCGACTATAAAATCGTTTGCACCTCTCACAAGCCTTCACACAGGCCCTTGTTTTGCTGAAAGTTGACCGGTTGGAGAGTTTCTTTTTGCTTCTCTTTTACATTGTTGAAACTCCTATCAGTGTTTAAGGAGCTTTGTGCTCATTATCGTGAGTGCAAGTTAGAGCAGAAACTCAAAAATAAAATAAAGAAGACAAAATTGAAAAAGTGAATCAAATGATAAAGGGGAAGCAGGCGACGAAAAGCTAGAGAACAGTAGCATTGGAGCTCGGTTAAAATTTTAGCGCGTTGCAGCGCGTCGACGCGCGTCATCGCGAAATGTGAAAGCTGTCGAACAGATCTTTTCTTTGGAGGCGTTCGTTATTTGCAGCGTGTCGAATACTCAAAAACGAAAAGATACTTACAATGAACAGATGTCCGGATCAAAACTGGAGAACATAATCCGTCTACTACCAGCGTTATTCAGAAGATCAGCCAATACAACATCAATAAACTCGTTCCGCTCAAAGTAATGATCACATTCGTGCTCACCGTTCTGAAAATTCAGCATCACAGAAGGATACATAGGCTGTGTGACTGTGAGTTTCACCATATCCTCTGCAACACTTACAGTTTGCATCATAGGATATTTGACTTCCACATTGAATCCGACATCTGGATCCACCTTCGACAAAGCTTCGACTAACGTGGGAAAAGGCTTGAAGTCCTCCTGCTCCTCACCATCTTCCACAAGCTTCTTGACGTTCTCCTTCTTGTGGGGGAAGTTCACATGATCCAACTGTAAAAAAAATCGTTAGGAGCCCAATACGATGGCGTTTAATAACAACGTCCAACAGTCACGCGTGGCCTTTTGGCCACGCAACCAATAGAGTGAACTCATCAACAAATAACTGATTTTTTCAGTAAGGGCGCAACGTACTCACAAAAGAATTTAGGCGTTGAATGCATTGCGATAGCCGGCTGCGGACTCACACCATATTCGACGCGCTCTACCTGGAAAACAAACCCAATTTTCCAAGAACAGGGCCGGATCTCAACTTATTTTCTACGTGGGCAGATTTGGATGAAAGCTGGGTTCTAGAGGTGACCTCCTGAACTTGAACATCGCCTGACCTGGGGTATTTTGGCGCTGACGCTGAAATACCCTAGGTCACTACTCAGCGCTACAAAACTTGTATAACGAAAGGGCCAGTTAAACATCTTATTGCATCTAAACATTCATTTTGGCGTGACCTGATGGAAAACGCTGCGATTATGCTCTGGTATGGCTGGCCTGACCTGAAGGAAAACACTCTTTCTCACAGACTCAGCCTCAGAAAAGGGTTAAATAGTGCTGGAGTGAATGTCATATTTGTGATCAGGGCATCAAAGAACCCATTATGCACATTTTCATCAATTTTGATGAAAAAAGGCGTGGCGCCAAGTCAGCAGTAAATGGCGTCAGGGAGGAAAACTAATTCGGTAATCGCGATCACGACATCAAATAGCCATACCATGCAAATTTCCACCGAATTTGGTGGGAAAGGTGGCGGCGCCAACCAGCGCCCAAAACGAGTGATTAGGACACCGAACTATCTGTGGGCGAGGTTTCCCAAAAGAAATTTTCGACTTTTTGGGGTAGTAATAGTTGAATAGTGCCATTTTATGGTTTTTCGTTTCAGCCAATAGTCGAGCCTGGTTTCAACTTCACCGCATTCGAACTTCTGATTACAAGGACGATTGGTGCTCTGTTTACCAGTGGAATAAGTTTAGACTATAGCATAGGAAAAAACCATGGAAACCTTAGTTCTGACAAACGAAATTGTCATTCTTCCTCTCAGCTTAATAAGAATTTCAATTTTTCTGACGGAAAAAGGTCTGCTTTTTCTCAACAGTAGTTTAGTCCGACTTTCTGCAGTGCATTCTACCCTGAAACAGTTCAAGCTTCGGTTAACAGCAGCGCAAGTAATGTCGCAAACGGGCTACGGACTGCTTTACCTGGTAAAGCGCGTTGAATATGGTGCGATGTCTTGTGTGTCGCCTATTGTCGATTGTCATGAACTCACGCCTAAATTCTTATTGTGAGCTCCGTGCGCCGCTACTGAATGTATTCTTATTGTAACTCAATCCTATCAAGAGGCAGGCCCAGAAAGACGCCATCGCGGCTCGAGGCTGAAGATCCATTACTTGCGAGTTCGGTAATTGGGATTTTAATAAAGAAAACAGCGAAAGCTGTGAAAAAGTCCAAAATAGGTGTAGTTTGTTGCCTCTGAGCAATATAATCGTACCGCAGCGTGTGGAAATGAAAAGTATAGCACGGTGTAGCCACAGAATATTGAAATGATAGAGACCCCACCACCATATTGCGATAGTAAAACAAAATGACAAGGGAGGATCCAGCTCAAGGAGGTGGAGCTAGCCTGTCGTCGCTGAGCCGTGGCTCTTTTATCAAGTAGTTTCGAAACGGTAAAGTGCGAAATGCTTTACAAATGGGGAACGCGCCACCTTGCAGCGAACACTTCCTGCATTTTGGGTAATCGTAGACGCTCAAAACGCTTCATTACCCCCGGCGTCTGATATCCCAACCACCACCTGTCTCAATTCCTTTCAAATTCATAACCCTCCACATATCATGAAGCACCTCCCACTTTTGCCCTGGCTTTCACAGTAGACATGATTGAATCATGAGCTACTAAATAAGTGCATGATTTGTTATTCGAAAAACCGCGCACTACGGAATAAATGGGAACGGTTATCTACACAAACACCAACATATGCAGCACCGACCTTACGACGCAAATCTACCCATATAGCAAATACGTACCCCAGACATTATCATGCCCTAGAAACTTACCATAAGGAGCTTGAGCTGGTTGAGCTTCAAATCTTTGACAGGGATCTCGTGATAATCAATGTGCTTCTCGCTGTGTATGTCGGAAGGTCGCAACGCCTCACAAAAGTTTCCTGAAGCGTGACGTTTCGCCACTGAGACAAGCACGTGGAAATCGTGGTAGATCACGGCCACCTGAACATATTTTTTTCAAACGAACCATTGTACTAATTTGTTCTCAACTTTGAGAGCAGGTTTCGGATCGAAAATAGCGGTTACGACCGATACGCCGATGAAAACAACTCTTTCATGCTGTGTGACAGGAAAGGGAAACGGAAAGAGATCGCCGAATGCTGGTAATCCTCAGAAATGCGTTGAAATTTTCAAGAACCAATACATTCCGCTTATAGTGTAGTTCGCTGCGGACGTTGGGCGTGTCAGGCGGGATGAGTTTGGCGCGGTGCCAAACCCGTTCTCCACCAGTTGTTAAAGCGAGCAAATGATATGACTGTATCATATCGTTCGTATTACTCGTTTTCTACCACTTTTTGTCGCATGCGCGCTTCAACAAGAAGGCAGAGAACGGCTTTGACACACTCATACTGCCTGACACGCCCAACCGTCCGCAGCGAACTAGAGTGTACAAACGAACAAGGAAATCCTTCCACGTAAGATAAATAAAATACAACAGGCATTAATTCTGGGGAGGAGGAGCACATTAAGACGCTCTGACTGGTCCCAATTCAGTCTCTGGTTTAATTAAGCAGAAAAGAAGGGCACTTGGTCGTGATAGTGCAAGGAAACGACCATGAGCCAGGAGATGGGGATTTTGCCCAAGTCTGACGGGGGAAAGAGCTTCGAGTAGGCAAGCTTATTACCTTGGGCAAGAAATCTCATGATTCAAATGCCTTAGGTACTCTGTCAGAAAAGACCCTCCTCATGAGGTTAGCAGCAATATAAAGCATTGGAGTAATCATAACCACAAGAATGGCGAGCCATGTGCAAAGGTCAGACCCGAGGTGGTACTTGAACCCACACCTCACGCTGACGCTCTCTGCTGTGCCACCAGGCTGCTCTCGCTCTTTCGGCTTCACGACTTTCATACCGTAACATTGATGGTATGACGAATAGCGCACTCGCCCGGGCAGAGGTGCGGGTTTAAGTCCCGACTAAAGGTCTGACTTTTGCCCATAACTCGGCATACTTGTGACAACACTGAACGCGAAGTGCGGCGCTAAACAGCAGTTGTCATTATAGAGTACTGGAGTAGACTAAATATAAGCGATCTCACAGCCAGATTGAAAAGTTGAAATTCGCAATTAAGCTCCTCGAAGCAGCAGGCTATCCCGTGTTGCAGCGGCTCAAAATCGGCTGACATCACCCAGGTAATCCAAAACCCTCGAAAACTCCAAGGATATGCACAAGGGAGATCACTAACTTACACGATATAATTCAATATAAAGGTCCTTATCTCAGTTATCACCTGTTGAGTCCATACCAAATACGATGGAAAGCAGCAGTTAATAGGAAAAAACCCCACTGGACTATAGAACTACCTTGTCTTTCGTTAGCTGCACATCAAATTCCACATAATCAGCGCCATTTTTTGCAGCTGCGATGTGTTCAACGAAATATGTGGTTCTCGCGGCTGCAAGCAAACCGGGGAAACCAAAGTTCACTTGAACCGAATCAATTCACAGTGAAAGTCTAAAGGACCACTTAACTTACGTGAAAATTTCCCTGCTCCCGCGATGAAACCAACGTTCTATTTGTGCTTTCTCTTCTCTCCAAGTGGGCCTTTACTAATACAATACTTCCATAGTTTTTACCAGTGTAGCGGGGTTTTACCGCAAATTTTGCGTACAAAAAGATACTCCACTGAAAAAGTCGTTCTCACCCTTGGATTCTCACAAAGTCTGGTTCGCTGCCGATGATGGAACATGTCAGAAAGGAAGGATCTGGCAGGCGCGCGAGGGTATTGTTATTTTTCGGTAGCGACAAGATTGGGACCATATCCGGTCGTGTCCGTTTTCACCAGCTATGTCTTTTTCCTGCATCCAAGAGCTGCTGAGGGAACGGGCTGCGTTGCGCGCCAAAACCCAGCCCCGCGACATGCCCATCATCCGCAACCAAAAAAGAGACTATATTTCATTGACCTTACCAGATATTTGCCCAATAGGCCTTCCCGAAGAGTTGATAAACGGTAGCTGGGAGAGACCACACGAATCAGCTAAGGAAGATGGAAGAGCATAGCATGCGCCAATCCTCTTCCCTTCTTCCGAAAAGATTTCTATATAAAATGCCTGTAATTAAAACCTTATCAATATGGATTCATTTGAGATAGGAAAGAAAAATAAGAATTTTCCATGTATTAAGAGTTTTTTTTATGAAAAAGCATAAAGCAGTAATAAGCGTTCGCACTCACCAGAAACTCCACAGCAACCGAGTGAGTTTTATATACAACATAGTCTACATTATTATTGAATAGTATGCCTACATCTGGCTGCTGCCTGAATTTCGGATTTTTGTCGGAAAGAACCTGAAAAACATACTGACTACATTCTAACACTAGAAGATACAGTCGGAGTATGGTCGCGTTCATACTCAGCGACTGAGCAGATTCGGCGATTTGGGAGACTTGGCGATTTGAGACTGTGCGACGAGGATACTATTTTGAGACTAAACGAACCGACGTTTTAGATCGCTTAATTTCCGCAATCGCTGGAGACCACGCCGATCGGTATCGATACATCCATTGCTTTAGCGCGCAAATACGGGAACGCTGAGTCTCCCACATTGCCGAATCGCTTGATATTGTCACCTGTGAAGTATGAAAGTATGAAGTACGACCCAAGGCGGTTTTCAGGCTTTACGACTATGAGGAACTTGCACTTCGAGAGGACGGGCGGAAAGAAAAATACGTGAACCCCGGAAAGCGTGCGCTTCAAAGAACTGACGGCGAAGGATTAGATAAGAGGCAAGTGAACCCATTTTGACTATCAAACCAGGTATTCACCAAATTAGTACGCATATTTTCCTTCCTGTACAGCCTCGCAAATCGTCGATTTTCCAAAATTCGTGTTCTACGCATTCGCGAAGTCAGAATGCGGAATAAATGACAAGGAAATATGAACGTACCGCCACAGAAATTGATGAATGGCTAGGATAAGGCGGTAAACCATTATCGTCTTCATCATCTTCTTCATCCACACCGTAATTGAAATTGATTTTGGCTCCGCTTTTCTAAACACGTTGGCGAATGAGCAGTTTGGCTCGAGGAAATTGGAAATGGGGAAGAAGAAAAAAAAGCGTACCAAGCGATGCCGCACATCCATCGGATTGATCTTTTACGGTGCAGTTTTTGCGTTCCTTTGCAGACTTGTAGAACTTCAACGCCGAACCATAAAGGCGAAGCAAGATCTGATTTTCATCATCGTACTGCAACCATCCTTCCGAAAGGACTTTTCGTCCAGCTGAAATGCACCAGTGATTTGTGCTGAATCAAAGCGAATAGGGATAAGATGAACTTGTCAGACTGACCGTAGTAACCGAAGATATCAACATGATTCGCTCGGAACACGCCTCCTTTCTGGTCCGATTTCAGTGTGACGGATCGTGGATGTAAAAACGATTCCCATCTACCTGAAAGAGTACTTGCAATCTGGGAAAGCTTATATTCACAAAAGCAGGGACGAATAGACCAGTCATAGACAAAACATAGGTCGAAGGTCACTAAAGTAACGAGTATAAATTCACGGTAAGGCTAGAGCCACACTGCTCTTACCCCACCTTAGCCGTCATATAAGTGTCAAAGCAGTGACGCTAGCTATCAAACATTTATAAGATCAAAAGTTCATTATCAATGCAAATATATTTTGCGCTATGCCAGAACTTTTAGTATAAACTTCAGTTTAAAAATACTGATAAAATAATAACAATAATAATAAAAAAATAAAAAAAATATAGAATAAAATCCAGTTTAAATAAAATATAAAATAATAAATATAACATAAAATAAAAATTTGATATCATAGTTTAAAAGACGTCGAAACATAGAAAATACTTTGATTCAAGCATCCTACTATGCTAACCTGGTCAAGCGTACGGTAGAACATTTTGACCTAACGACAGCGCCACAGGGAGCACGTCCCAAAATATCACTACTTAACAGATACCCAATATTTCAGCTCGAGTGAGGCATTATAGCTCAGCTTCGGAACTATTGGTGCCAAAACGAGATTTGGCAGCTACTCAAATGGTATTTTCTACATTGTTACACCAAAATAATGGAGACCGGGGCTATACGCTCCAAGCAGGTTTGTTGCCAAGAATAGGACAAAATAAGAACAGATTTCGCAGTACATTCATTCAGAAGGACTCGTAAGGGTGCTAGAGCGCCCACACATAGCGTTTTGAGTGCAACGAACAACCCTGTGCATGTTTCGCCTTAGAAGCGAAAGCGGTGGTAAGGCATAAGACTATACAAGTGACTAATTTTGAGCCAGAAAGCCAGTGACTCCGCCCACGTTGATAGATATCTTATCGCCTGCCCTATTCATTTGCATCTCTCTCGCCGCTCTTGTCTGGCATCTAGCCCTAGAACCACACAGATTTTAGTCTCTCGTTTAGTAGAGGGAAAGCCCGACTTAGAGCGTTTTAGGCCGTTTCTTTTGCTTTTTTTATTCACGAGCGAGTCATTTACACTTACTTTTTCCCGTACCAGAGCTATCGCAGGCTCTTTGATGGAGTTCTTCAGGCGAAGATCACACGAATATGGCGTTAAAGATAAACGCGTCCTACCGTACGCTTGACCGGCAGGCAGTTGCGACAGATCCCTGAGGACTCTCAGAATCCCGCCCATATTTATGAAAATGCAGATAGCATCTCTGAGGACCCTTCAAATCTCACATTTACAAAAATAGCTTGTTCACTTTCAGTTAAGACCTATTGTGAATGGAGTGGACGTCCAAGTACAAAAAAGTGCACAAACCATCGAAATTTGGGTATAGGTCTATCAGCAGGAATTCAGTGCAGATGTCGCGGATCGCGTGGTTGAACCAGCGGCCACACGAGCACGAGAACCGTAAAACCTACTACATACGTTCGCCGCACTACACACTGACGCTGCAGATGATTTGTGGATCAAGAGTGTCGAACATCACAATACAGTGAACAATCACAATTTCTCCGTGCAATACTCACTTCGAACGACGTCGACACTCATATTATTGTGTGTGGATGGATTTTGACTAGGGTTACGGACTGGGACACGGCTTCACCTATGATCAAACGCTGTCCATGTTCTCCACATAGAAAGTAGCCAATGAAATATCGAAAACGGACTTCATCGTCCGCTGTATCCACATAGCCACGCCAACGAGTACTGAAACAAAGGAAGGCAAATAATGACCACAAGCCAATGGGGTAAAAAAACCCAAGAGAACAACTCACGGTCGGTCGGCATCCTGAGTAAGTGTTTTGGCTTTGAGAGGGTCCCATTTTCCAAGGGACGATGTTGAACCAGTAACGAGTACAAATTCAGACGGCTGTAGATCTTCGACGTCAACGGCAAAAAAGACCCGTGCCGTCGGTCGGCTGCTAGACATCTGAACCAACCACATATTACGTAAACGCGCTAGGAGTTACGACAAAGATAGTAACAGGTTTGATAAGAACGTTCAATGAGCGCAAGGCTTGCTCTTTCAGACAAATTGGCAAAAAATAGAGTGGCTATGTGCCGCAGAGGGGCTCACTCTTCAGGAGGGTCGACCAGGTCTTGCTTGCAGAGGGGGATACGAACAGGAATTCTCAAGCGCATTATACTCTGCGCAAGTTTTGAGAGTTCTGAACGACTAGGGAACTAAAGGTATCAATCTAGCGTTTTGAGTGTCTACCAGCACGTCCAGGAAAGTACATGTATTGATTATCACTGAAAACACCCACAACGCTGGGTCGATACCTATACTTTCCGAGTCGCTCAAAACGCCGCCGCATAGTATGAATTGTTAGTTCCCAAACATTTCACACTGCCTCGGTGAGAGGACGAGCAGATATGACGTGGCTCAACTCCACAGGCGAGCAGGGAATGTTCTGCCGTTGGGGAAAAGCTTTGCAAAATCCCTTCCATATGCCCTACGACCCCCCCCCTTCTCATCCCTCATGCCACTTAGCGTAGCGTAAATTCTTTCAGCTCATTATCGGTTCCCCCAGTTTTCCTAAAAGAAAACCAGGACACATCATTGGCCGCGGATATTGCTCTTTCCGTACGACCCCCCTTTTCTTCAGAGGCTGAGACCCCCCTCTGAAGTGGGGGTGCTTGATACGACTCCCCTCCGAATACGACCCCCACCTGCCCTACCTGCTATCTTCCTTAAGTTTCCAACTTCATACCACTTTTTCTGGAATTTCCCGGAAATTTTCCTACTTTTACCCATACCGGCTGGAGGGGTCTATAGCACTATGAAAGTCAGGAAAGCCAAAACGATCTTTCCAGGACAGAGAGCGATACCCCCTCCCCGCCCCTTTTGGGGAATGCCCAGCAACGATGTGCCTCAGCGGAAAATTACCACCCACTGAGCGGGCTATAGAGCGCTTGTGAAACGGGAAAAATTGAGAATATTCAGAAAGGTATCAAACAAAAACGTTCTTCTCAAAGGCAGATACATCCCCCCCCGAGGCGAATAAGCCCCCCTCCTTGCTGGGAGATTCCCAAGCAACGCGCCCTGCTATGTGGCCCTCCCTAGGCAAATAGCGCCAAAACGGATCATGTCAACAGAGAGACAAAATTTCAGAACACACCTCTAAAGCAGAGAAACTCTTCGTAGGTGCTCCCGTTTTCCAGTAATCGACATCTAAATGAATGGTAATTGTAGCGAATGGAGCGACTGCGGCAGCGCTCGAGGGAGCGACAGCACGAGACGGGAGATGCTGCAAGAAGAAGATATACCCAACTTGAAAAACCAGTCTATCACGGTAACACGAGCTATCGCATGTAAACCCGACAGATCAAGGAAACACAACTTTTTAGAGCAACGATACAAACACAGGTTATAATTTCTAGTAATCACGAGGAAACGAAGTGTAGATAACTTAGTAAGACGTTGCTAGCAATTTAACTCCGTTTTTTGTCATTTCCGTACCATCTAGCAGCCGTGCTACCATTTTAAACCGAGTACCAAGTCATGGTTATAAGCCTTTAAATATGGACGTGTACCTGGCAGGAGAAAGGGAAGGGGGAGCACCACAGCCCACGTATCGTCCTATCTTTCCCTTACAAGCCTCAGAGTGCGTTCATGCTGGCGTCAATGTTTTGAGTGACTAGAAAAGTATAGGCATTGATCTACGCCGGCATTTTCAGGGACTACCCACAAGAACTCTCAAAATGCCGACGCACGAAGCCGCTAGATCGATACCTACTTTCTAGTCGCTCAAAACGCTGCCGTACGCTAGCATACGCTCAAATTGCTGACTCAAAGTATGTTCACTCTCTGGCTCAGTGAAGACTACATCTTCTTTGGGGGACTACAACTCGATGGCTCTGATAATATGCGCTAAGACAATGTGTTTTCGGGAAAGTGATGCAGAGATGCAACCGATTTGCTCCCCACCCAACTATTAAATATGCAACTCATAGGTTCAAAAATTCAAGGAAGCACAATGAAGAGATTCTGGCGCTATTCGAATACAGACATTTTCACGCAATAGCCCCAAATCCATTATGTTTTTCGGAATAATAAAATGTTATGAGCATCTATCATTTCTTGAGTTTTTTTTTTTTTTTTGAATGCAGCCACATTAGCTGCGGAAGGTGGCGAAAAAACAGTTGCGAGTAAGGCGATGAGGAATATTCCCTGAGATTACGAAGGAGATGAGGCTCCATGAGGGACAGCCAGTACCTGTGTGCAAATGCGATATTTGTTAAACAAAACATTCGATTCTACTTTTCCTAAAACTAGGTGTAAAAACAAAAATCTTCGTAGTTCCAAACACCCTGGGTGCCCTGGGTGCACCAAAATATCCTTACAATCTCAGGATAGCGCTGAGATTTAATACGGGAAGTTCGGAGTGGACATTCCTTTCAACAGTATCTCGACTTAGAGACGAGATCGATACGCATGCTTTCGACTGCATCGATCGCGTCGAACGCGCGACCGAAGCGCTGCCGTCGCGAAGTCTGAACGCTGCCTAAACGCTCGAGCGATCCGATCGCGTGGTCCAAGCGATCAGATTACAAAGAACGAACGCGCATTTTAATTATACTCAAGCTGCGAAGAAGCGCTTTCAATAGAGTCAAAGCTGATCATGAGTTGGAGAATGTTTAAAACTTCGAACTTAGCGCCAGTGTAACATAGCGGACAATTTGGTGCAATTTCTCGTCAATTTACCACAGTCGCAATTTTGCACAAGGAAATATTCAGAACTGTGTGGTCCTTGTTCACGCCAATTCCTTGGAATTTTTTTTCAAATACTGGTACACATTCATGCTAAAAGGTGCGAAGGAACGAATTTGAGCAAGGAGACGAACATTTTTGCCTGAGCCTATGGGGAAGGAGCTACGAGGTGCGTGGACCAACTTATTCGTGTTGGGAACTCTTTGGACAACTGCACTAAAATGCCTTCCTTAGTGAAATAGAGCTGAAAAAAATGGAAACGGATCTCCTGGCAAAGAGCTGCCTTCAATAAGACTAATACTGAGCTAGGAGAGATATATTCAAAACTCATTCAAATTTTCACTGTCAAAACTTTCTAGCGAATGGTTATTCATTCAGAAATGTCATGAATAATAAGAAAAATGGAAACGAGATAAATAGGAAAGCAAAGCTGAAAGCCCATTTCCATCAAGTTACGTATCAATTCCCCTTTACGAGATTCGCACTGCCCCGAGAGCTTTTTGTAATATCGATTACAGCACTGCTTCTCGTGGCTGGAATAGCAAACAGGGGGCTGGCTTACTATGTCCGTTGCCAAACAACTTCCCGCTATTCAGCTTCAGCTACTGTTGGGAAGTTAGAGCAGGAGCAACTGTATCAGATAAGTTCTGCATTATTTTCAAGCGCAATAGAGATATGAGGATGTCTATGAACTATGTGAAAAGAATGACTTTCAAGAGAACATTTATGGACGAGAAAATGACCCGGAACGAAGAGGAACGAATTAAGCCACATGAGCGCGCTTCAACATCGATCCGCTAATGGAATTTGGTACGCAATTGCGGACAGCACAATCGCAGATCCATTTATCCGCGCGCTCATCTTTCTTTTGAGCCCAGGCGAAATGATTTCCTCATAACTATGGACTGTAGAATAATAAGTAGTATTGGACCGCCCCTCCTAATTTCCCTGGGAATTTCCACGGTACGCGCGGTGCCGACGAATTCGACCTGGGGGATTCCCGGCAAGGGGGGGGGTCGTATTTGATTGCGCTACATACTTCGACTTTTCTTGATTGTTCCCGTTTCACGTGCACTGTGTACCTCCTCCCCCTCCCGAACTGGTTTTTTTTCGAAAAAAAAAGCCTGGAAAAGTGGAACCAAATTGGGGATTCAGGACGTTGGTAGGCAGGACTGTGGATTAGACAGGAAGAATTTCGCAAAAGTCTTTTTTTCTGACGACAGGATGTGCGGTTGGGTTACGCAGCAGATCTGCGCGTGGTAAAGAGAAACGGGTTCAGATCGGCTTGGTGGGGACATTTTGGTGGTTCCCATCGATCAGGTCTCCGGGGAGAGGGGACCTGTGCAGTCTCATTTGACAGGAGTTTACCAAGATGATACATACCCCCCTCCCCTCGTAACCCAGCGCTGAATTTGCACTAAAAGGGCCACCGCTAGTCCGGATCAAAGTATAGTGCATGGCGTGCCAAGAGGGCATTAGCGGTCTGGGCAGGAGCCGAGATCGTGAGCGCGATAAGCGGTAGCAGTTATGGTGGCAAGTGGTAGCCTTTACACAGCAGATAAGAAATGCAAAGAAAAGGAGTAAATATGAGAAAAGGGGTAATATTTGGTGTTGACAAAAATGTTGCGTAATAAAAATTTTGAGAAAAATCGGAGAGGAGGCGAAGATTCAGGGGTCCTAACGTGTATGTAGATTGTGAGAGGAGATCGAAGTCCTCCTTCGGAGAGAGGGTCGAAATGACTTTTCCTTTTGGGAGAACCCGATTAGCTGCTCTGTCTGGAAAGACAGCCATAATTTCTTAGAAATCGATCTTCAAAGGCAAGCGGAAAGTTCTAGAAGAGTCAGAATTTAGCGAAAATACCAGTAATTGAAACGGAACGGAGAGCGATTACCGAAGAATTCAAGGAATGCCATGAATTCATCACGAAACCTATCGGAAAATCGTATTTGGCGGTGTGTTAGACGGCTTCTCAGCGCGTGATCTTCAACTTTTTCCCCCTGCCAGCGGCAACGCCTAGATGGGAAGAGCATAGGGGTTGCAAAAGCAAATGGCAGGAATTAAGACACCGGGGTATGGCCTTCCTTGTGGAAGTTCGAAACTGAGCAGGGAGTTTAGCGCCGTTTTTGAGAGCCATGGCAATGACAAGTTCTAAGGTTTCGAGGCAACTGTTCAGAAATGCAAAAGACAAATGACAAATGCGCAACTCATCTGCGGACATGATGAACAGCTGTTTAGCACTCATCCCTATCCTTACAGCTGCTTTCGGATTCAAACAGATGATCGTCCTCCTTATTCCCATAAGCGCAGATTTCTGGACAGAAATAGCGCAATGGTAAGGTCGTTCATACTTCGCGACGCGAGCGTAATCGCAAGGGTCAAAAAAGCTCCTGAAAATGCTAGTCAAACTGGCAGAAGCAGCAGCTTCTGGGTTGGCGGTGAAGCGCGGTCGACTACAATAGCGCGAGCAGAGTGGGATGCTGTATGCAGGGCTATGACAAGGATACAAGTCTAGGAAAAGCAGGATACAGTACGCTCAAAAGCTGCGCGTGAAATAAATGTGTCACCTTCGTGAACGTGAATACTATTGGGCACACTGCTGCTTTAGTTGTTAGTTGGCTAAGCTAGTTTAGTTACCCAAGGGAAGAAGCTTCGGGTGAAGCCAGGAAATGAGATCGAGACTAATTCCGCTCTCTGCCTGTAAGCAGGTGCCACCCAGACTCAGGAATGAGGTGTGCCTGTGCCTCCACACACTCAGTTTTGCGCCTCGTTCAGGATACGGTATTAGCCTGTTCTCTTAAACTTATTGTTTAGTGAGGCGGAGGTGGTGTAGTGACAAGTGACGTGCTTACCGCGGTCCTGGGTTCGAATCCCAGGTCGACTGCCCAGGCCAACCAAGCCTTCTACCCTCCGGGGACGGTGAAATTGGTACCAGATTCGTCTGGGAGGATAAAACACTGACTTGTACATCGGCTGGCCCCCGCAAGTCATTGTATAGGCCACATCGCATTCAAAGCCACTACGATTCTGAATGGAAGTAGAATGCGTGCCGCATCCTGA